ACGCCCCCTGCTGCCGTGAGAACTGCCACACATTGCTTGAGCCATTCTCCTGACTGGCAAAATCAATGCAGAAAGTTGCCAGCAACAGCAAACAAAACAAATCGTGTATGCCAGTGACCATTTGAACTTCAGAATGTCACAAATTGCGAGAGTTAATTTTCACCATTAGCCAGTCAGCCAGTCAGCCAGCCAGCCAGTCAGCCAGCCAGCCCCATGGTCAGGGCCAAACAAAAATGATGGCCGACAGTTTGTCAATTTCGATTTGTCCTTCGATATTCTATGCAAATTTCTATGGCCCTGGTTAACCAGAGGGTAGAGGGTAGAGGGTAGACGGTAGAAACCAAAACAGTGACAGTGACAGTGACCAAAACAGATATAATCAATAGGTCAGGCGTGCGAACAACATATAGTCTTGGGGAATGTGAATGATTGATTAGGCCAGTTGCCGCCCTTCCACTCACTTCCCATCTGTTCATATTTAATTACTTAACTTTTCAACTGATTGCATGCAATACCTCGGAAGTATCTGTGCATCTTTCTACTCTACGTTGAGCTATGCGGTTTAAGCATTTCAACAGCAATGGAAAATCCCAAAATGAAAGCCAGCCAGCCAGCCAACCAGCCGAATAATCTGCGGATAAGTGGTACAAAATAAACGAAGCAATGGCTGCAGAGCTGGAGAGCTGGAGCAACGATAAAGATATGTCAGGATCTAAACTAAGTGAAAAAAAATTGAAATATTACGTATACGCACAATTGCACATACAAGCGGCAGAAAACAGAGAATGTTCAGCATTTTAAACACTCTTTTAAGTGGACTTAATATTGTATATTATTGCCCCTGGCTGCCAATTTCCAAAAGCAAAATAAATAAATTAAATTAAAATTAAATAATAATAAAATAAAATTAATTTATATTTACAAGTTTAGGCAACCCAAATGGTTCTTTCGGTTATAGTTTCTGCGATGCTCAATGATTTATAGTTGCAAAAAAAAAAAGCACATTATATTTCAATGATTTTATCAGCCATAGAACATTTTTGTATGGTAAACCTTTTGTATGGGTTGCATCTATGGAAATCCATTATTAACCTACTTTCGGATATACATATATGTATATTGCAGCATCGGCAAGTCACAGTGCACAGCCCTTGCCATAGCGTCCAATCTATGGACGGATTTGTGCTCAGCCAAAGCCCGTGGTATTTCTAGCTAAGCCCTTGTTGGAGAGTGTATCTTAAGTCGCTGGAGCTGTCTCCATGTTGACAAAGATTATGTGACAATAAGCTTAGATAATTCATTTGCTACGAGGAGCACATAAAGCAGACACCCCCAACACAGACACAGACACAGACACAAACACAAACACACACAGCCAAGATGCCATAGGGGAGGCAGATCGCAGCAGCCAGAACTCCCAGCACCCAACGCCCAAGACGCCCAACATCGAACAGAAGCAGCTGTCAGTTGTGTAAATATTTTGTGGCAAGAGTACAAATAGAAATGCTGTCGATAAATCGAAGCACATGACTAGCCTTGCATTAGCAGCTGCGACTTATATCTGGGTGGAGGTCTGCGGCGTTTCTTCCAATGTAAGACCAAACAGCATTCGGGTGGGGTGTGCCAGCTACTTAAACGAAGCTGAAGCTGTCAATTACATTTCAATCAGTTTGAGTTCGTGCCGCATAGCAATGAGTGCAAATGAATGATCAAATTAGTGAGTGTCCCATGATTTGAATCGCTTTGGATGTTTATGCTGTTGGATTTAACTCATTTTCAATTCGTCAACCAAGCCATTGATCACTTCCATTTATAAATGGCATGCAGAGAGAGTTTTATGAGGAATTTCATTGGAATTTTGACAACGCAAATTAAGTCAATAAAAATGTAGCAATTAATTGGTAACCATAAAGTGCCAACTGTTTTTGTATTCTATATATTTTTTGGTTGGATTTAGCACACCGAAAAGTAAGTCTTTTTGTGCGCCTCGTCAAGGGTTGTGTATTTTTTTTGCACAGCTTTTTTGGTGCCCCATGCAACATCTCTGCTAATTGTATGTATATTTTATATGCGAGTCTGTGCTAATGCCCAACAAATGCATGCAAAAAAAAAAAAACAGCAGCAACTCCGTTGAAACATTTCAACATTCTTTTCTTCATTTAAATGTAAATTGTTGCAAGGGTCGCCCCTTGCGTGGCCCTGCCTGCCACCCATATGGCTGCTCTGCTTGAGGAAACATAAAAATTGTTGTTGCGACCACAGATGGCAGAAAAATACAGCTCGCTGCCGCTGCCGCTTTCCCTTTGCCATGCCCATTCCATGCCACATTCGAGGAAAATTTGTCTCAATTTTCCAATCAACTTGAATGGCTGACAAAGTTGTCGGCTTGGAGTGTGTCTGTGTGTGTGGAGTGCCTTCTGGCCGTATGCAAATCCTTTAAGTGCCCATTGGGTAAAAAGTTGCACGCACCCAGCTATACAGTGTGACCGAAAAGTGTGTGCACACACACCTCGTGTGTGCATTTAACAGGTGCACATCTCAATCTTATCATCAAACAAGTGCTGGCTCGCTTATCTCACCGTAAAGATTTGTTCTGCCCAAAAAAAAAAAAAAATAAATTTAAAGAAAAGAAAAAAAAACGGCTGAATTCGAATGGATTTCCCAGTCGCAATGTCGCCTATTAATTGCCCTCTACGTCAATCATTCACTCAAGTGAGTGGAGGAACACTGTCATTGGGAGTGCGTTGGGAGTACAGTAGACACCGGTTATGTCACACGCCCATGGCAGGCGCTCCGCGCGTTGCTTTGCAGTGCTATCTACTGTAAGAATCGTTGGCTATACGCTCGGCTGCTTGGCTGCTTGGCTGCTTGGCTTGTGCAGCTCTTGTCCCCAAATACCTACTTGAGGCATTAAGTCGACTGGTCGACTGGTCGACTGGTCTCTATCGCACTGAAGACTCTTATCTTATCGAATGCTCGCTCACTCACCCACTCGCTCCCCTCCTCCGCCCGACCAGTGTCGATTATGAAACATTTCGCATTTCTGTTTTGTGATTAATTTTAAATAAAATAGCCCACAAGAGTCACACTAGATTAAAAATAAATTTGGGATCCATAAATTTACGCAGCAAAAGCAACGAGCACCAAAAAAAAAAAAACTACAGATGGATATGCTCGCATCCGGAGGTTCTCTATCGAAAGAAAATCTCCATTGAATGTTTCCTCAGGCAGCGGAAATATTTGAGCTTAAGCTGGGAGAGCTGTGGGAGCTACGCGACTCCTCGATCATGGCCTGGCACCCTGCCAAAAACACCAAAAAAAAAATACAACGTAGATCACAAAAGGAGCGTCGAGAAGTCATGCGAGAAGTCATTTGCAATCTCATGAGCTAGCACTGCCTGTGGGTAACTGCCACAATTCAGGCGAAAAATATTACTCAGCCGAAAGGAGGAAAATCCACTGCCAGGGCGTACCCAGAAGGAAGAGTGCAGCATTCTAATTTACACCGAAAAAAGAGTTGCAACCGCAATAGAAAATGAATTTACAGCACAAGCGAATGAAGCTTTGACCGCTGCTTGTAAATTTGAGTGCAATTTAAATATATTTCTATGCGCAATTGCCTATTTTATAATGGCAGTGCATTTTGTGTAGATCGGCAGTTCTACGTTGATGCGTTAAATAAACGCTTGTTGTCAGACTTTTGGCAGGCACTGGCACTGGCATCTGTGTGCATCATCATCGTCAGGCAGACACTGCGGCAGATACGCCGCTCAAGGAGTGCCATAAGTGGGGCATTCATTCGAATGAGCAGCAGCAGCCATTTACTGGCAAATTAACGAAATGCCTGGGCTATGGCTGCGGATGTGTGTGCGACTTTTCCATTATTAATATATTTATGGGCTGTGCAATTAAATATATGTATGAAAATCGATGCAGAGCGACTTGCGTTGGGCAATAACCAATGTAATTCAGAGCGCCCCCCCAAACCCGTTCACATGTTGCTGCCCCGACGGACAATGTTGCAACGAATATTGCTGGATTTTATATTATCATTATCCTTATCCCTAATGCTGATCAACAAGTTTTGCTTTCATGTTTTTTTGTGGCCCCTCGCTATCGGTATTTGAACATTGTAATGGACGTGGACGGACTCCATGGTTCCATGGTAAATCATTTTGTGAGCATTCAGGCGAATCGGCGCGAATCAAAGTGAACACAAAACCCTAAAGAGTCAAAGCACACGCGAATATATCTGCATATATTTATGATTATGTTTATGCATAGCCTCGTATAAACGATGAAACGATGAAATTGTTGCCCTACCATTTCATTTCCTTTTTTTTTTTTTTTTGAACATTTTTACGCATAATGTTCACCGCAAATCGAATCAAATGCAATCGAGTGCAAAATGATATGCAACTCAAGTGGCAATAGCAGGGAAGCAATCATAAATATGTATATATGTATATACATATATTTAGGTACATATTTACATTTGTTTCGGGAGCCCTTCAAGTATGCAGTTGGGGGGGCAACGTGGCAAGAGCTTCTCTACCATTCAGAGAGCATCATTTTGATTGTTTTTTATGAAATATTAATTAAATAATTCCCTTTTTCCGTTTCCGTGAATTTCGCTTACCTTTTTGTGCGGTGGAGAGTTTCTGTTTCTGTTTCTGTTTCAGTTTCTGTTTCTGTATCTTTTTTTTTTTTTGTTGTTTTGGTTTTGGTTTTGCTTTTGATGGAGTGTTGGTTTCTGGTGCTCCTGTTTCTGCGTCTGTTCCTGTTCCTGCTGTTCCTGCTGCTCCTGTTGATGGGATCGAGCAGTTGGGTTGCCCGGGCCGTACGCGCCCACCAACCTGACTTACGGCACAATTTGTTTTAATTGCTTTTTAGCTTCAGCTGTTTTCCTTTTTCTCTCTTGTAATTTTTGTTGCTGTTGCTGTTGTTGTTGTGGTTGTGGTTGTGGTTGCTGTATTTTTTGTAATTTTTAAAATATTTTACTTTGTGTGTTTCTTATTTCAGCGCTCTGTTTTCTTTGGCATTTGTTGCGTTTGTTATGGTATTTATCTGTGAGCTTCAGGTGGAGCAGAATGTGGAAATTAACGCGCAATGCAAACAAAGTGTGGAATAAAGCACACACGGCGGTGGTGGTGGGGGGTGGGGGAGTCAGAGACAGATGCGACACACACACACACAGAAATCAGCGAATTTTTATTACACGAGTTGGCGAATATCTTTCCCTGGCCCTTGTCCCTTGTCCATTTTTCACTTTTCCATTTTTTTTTTTCGTACTTTTTCTGTTACCGTTTTTCTGATTCTGATTCTGTGATTCTCTGGTTCTCCTTTAATATTTTACGTCCTTGTTTTGTGTTTTATTTTTTGTTTCTTTTTTTTACACCTTTGTGACTTTTTGGCTGAACAAAAAAAAAAACAGTTTTGTCTCGTTCGCCGTTTAGCTTTTGGTTTATTTTTATCGCTCTGTCGTGATTCCGTTGGTTCGTTCGTTCGTTCGTTCGTTTGTCCGTTGGCTCGCCCCCGGATCAGGGCACCGCACAGTAGTGGCAGCGGCGGGGGCAGTGGGCAGCATTCATCCACTCGACTGCTCAGTTTTATAAATAAGTTTTTCGTTGTTCTTTTCGGGTTAGCCAGCAGAGGCAGCATCGAATAATGGCCAGCGAAATGGATTTTAAGCCAAGCTAACACAATGATGATTATGCCGGGGACATCATCATCGCCCAGTCCGCCCGACCGCCCGCCCGCCCGACAGCACACACATCATGTGTGAGATACGCTCGACAGCTCCGCTCCTCCTACTTGACTGCAGCAGGGAATGCGTTAATTATGCGACACGAGCACTTAGCCACAGACCCACAAGCATTTCAATTTTGATGAATTCCGCTCTGAGGGAATGTTGTGCCTATTACTCGCAGTACTATTTATGTTGGGTACACGCATGCCAGGCCATGCCAGGCCCGTCCTGTCTGTCTGTCTGTAGGTCTGCTTTTCCCTCGAACATTTGTCTCCCCCCCCCAGAATGGTCTGTTCTTGCGGTATGCCTACGCCTACTAACTGTTCCTAAGAGTCCTACACTTGACACTTCGTGAGGTATGTGAGAATGCTTCTGGATATGTTTGTCCACTGATTATCTAGCAAAACTTTGCTATTGGTATGTAATGGCTGTGCATACCTATTTATTATTGAATTAATTTCATTACTTTGGAAGCATTTAAATGCCTGAAAATACTTTGCCTCAAGGCACTTCGATTCTCAAATATTTTTGGTGCACTCAAAATGAGTACAGAAATTTCGTTAGATTTTCAAAATATCGCATTTAATTTTATTGTTTTCATCATTTGGACTGTCGCTTGACCAAAAAAAAAAAAGAAAATATACATACACACATACATACATATATAAAAAAAAAAAAATACTAGAAATATTTTTAAATTGTTTTGTCAGCCGCACACACAAAAAGTTCGACGAAATGTGTTAATTTTCTTAGGCCCCATTGCGGTTGTTGTTGTTGGTGCTGGCGAGGTCCAATAATTTTGATTGCTGCCAAAAATTCTTAGACAGACGGCCGCATTTCGCTGGCTGACTAAGTGAGGCGAGGCGGCGGCCCAGCGAGCCAGACACCTCAAAAGTAACAGAGGCAACCCAAGTGGACGACGACTGACTGACTGACTGAATTTTTTTTGTTTTTTTTTTTTTTTTGTTTAGCTTGCTCTCCCCTCTGTCAAGTCCCGCACTGATATCCGGCTATACTACAATCGACACATTTTTATAGAGTTTATGCGTTTATTACGCTAATTGTTGTTGCTGTTGTGAGCCAGCGGAGCCACAGCGGACGATAGCAAGTGATATGAAAAAGTTGTGTCTTTGCTGTTCTGCCAATTGTGATTTTGGCCTGAGTCAGCGAGTCATTGGCCAAGTTGAAAGTTTCCATTTCTCTTCTCTCATAGAACTTTGTCCGAGGAATGGGCTGGCAACAATCTTTTGGGGATCAACAATAAGCTGGGGCACTCCAGTTGCAGTTGCAGTTGCAAGTTTTTGCATAAAGCGTCTCCCAGGAGATGGTTTCAATAATTGCCAATTGGAACTTTTCGATGCCTGGTATTAGTCTGGATGGATGGGATGTTACTCCATTGACATTTATTACTCTTTTCACTGCAGTTCTAGTCTATGTGTTCTTTTGCACTTATGCAGATGAAGCTGTGGTATTTCTTTCTATTAAAAATCCCCCTGTCTGCCCTTTATCTTTAGCTGCCATTTCGAAGCTATTCTCTGATTAACTTACTGCTACTTTCTGCTGCTTAATTTCAATCTTTGATCTTAGTTGCAGTCACTTAGTTGAAGGCTTTTCAGCTGTTTTTTATAACTCTCAGCTGGGCATCCCCCTACCGCCTGGCAGCATCATTAATCACTTGCCGACTAACTAGCATTTATTTTTGGCTTAGACTTATCACCAGAAAGAGCTAGTCGTGCTAGCCACCGAGCAGCCCCTACCCTAACTTTTGTTTTAAGCACACACACACACACACACACAGACACACACGAAATTTGTATGCCCCATTCGGCGATTAATCAGTGAACCATTTATAGGAAACCGAAAAATGATTACAATCAATAAAAGCGATTATTTTCGGTTTCTCTATGCGATTTTCTCTATGGTTGCTTGTCTGGGCTGCCCTTTATGGTATTTTCTCATATGGTTATTCACGGTTTTAGCGTACGCCCCCACGCTGCAAGCTGTTGCCGCAGCCGCAGTGGTCGGGCCTTATACGGCGGTCAACCCTAGCCAAGCGCTGCCCTGCAACAAGTTCTGCGAGCCGAGTTCTGTTTTGGTATACGTCCTTGGGTTCCAGTTTCGTAGCCCTACTATATATGGAGTGGAATATTAACCTTGGCTTAGTTCTGATCGCGGGTCCACGGTTTCTGTTTTTTTTTTTTTAATTTTTTTTTTTTGTTCGTTTTTTAGTCGTTTTGAAGTTTCAGTTTTCAGTTAGAGTTTTAATTTCGGGGTTCCATTTTTTGTACTTAGAGTTTCGATGGGGATTGCACTTTTTGCTCTTCCCCCTCTTCGGTTGTGCACTTTGATTTGCTTTTCCTGAGATTTTGTATACACTTTTTTTTTAGCCGTTGTTTTTTTTCTGAAGCACCTTCGACACTCAACACGCGACGAAACAACAAAAAAAAAAGAAAGCACTTTGAAAAAAAAGTTCTATGCAGGGTGAGCGGTGGGGGGGGGGGGGCATGGAAAGTAGTAGTGCAAAGACCACACGCACACTCCGGCGGGGGAGGGGGGTGGGGGGAATACTCGTAAAGATGTTGGATGTTGTTTGTTGACGCTGGCGGGGCACGTGCTATTGCTGCGGCTGCTGCTGCTGCTGGCGTTGCCGTTGGTTTGGCCTGGTGGCTGTGCCTGTGGCTGCCACTGCTGGCTGTGGGTGGTTTGCTGCTTCTACTACTGGCGCTCACTAACTGCTTGGCTGCTAGCCGCTGCTGCTACTGCCTGCTGCTACTGCTCGACTTTCACGCTAGACGACTGCTTTGCAACTGCTTAGCGGCATGGGCGGCACAGCGGCGATAACGGCACTCTGGGCATCGGGCATCGGGCATCGTTCACGACCAGCCTTATTCATGTTCGTGCGCGTTCGCATTCCCTTCGAACATGTTGCGTGGCGGTGAAAGTGCACGGACAAGGCACACACGGTACACGGCCGAGGCGGTGCTCGGATAAAACAAAAAAAACGAATTGAGGCAGGAAATTGGCAGCCCGATGCCCAAACAGCCAATCGGGCAAATAAACTACATTAATCGAAATGCAGCTCAGGCAGCTCGCCCCATGCCGCCCTCTACACAGCCCTGGGACAAGGGTCACTTAAAATAAATTTAAATATTTATAATTTGAATATTTCTTATTTAAACTTTATTTTAAATTTTAAATATGTTTTAAAATATAATAAAATATTTTAAATATTTGTTTGAAAATATTTAAATCCTTAGAGAATTTTTAACTTTCATTAAATTAAATTCCCCAAGCTAACTTAAATAAAAACAAAAGCTAAAATAAACTGAAAGTCTGCTGTGCATTTATTTATTTTATTTTCTTAAAGTCTATGAATTATATTCAGGATTTAGCCGTAATAATCCTCACAAGCATATTCATATCTAACTTTATTCGAATGGCATTTGGCGCACTGTGCCGGAACGGAGCCAACATGTTGCCGCCAGAGTCAGAGTCAGAGCCAGCGACAAAGCCAGAGCCCGACCAGACTTACATGTTGGATTGGCTGACTTTGTGGGGCATTTATGTGGCCGAAGCCCTCAGCAAACATCAGGCAGCAGAAGCTAAGCTCCGCACCACAAACAGTAGCAGGCAGCAGCAGCAGCAGAAATTGCAACAGGAATGACAACGATGATGGAGATTCAGTTGGTTTTGGGGGGACTGGCATTCAACGCATTCTGGTCCCCGGCGTGCATTAGTCATAGGAATTGTGCCAGACAACAATGGCCGGCACGGCATTCTTGTTTCTGGTGGGGGTTGGGTGTATATTTGTGCAACGCGGCGTATGATTAACAAAATTAGCAAACATTTATCAACAGCTGCACAAGGGCTGGCTGCACCGGGTCCCACCGGGGTGGGGGGCGGGGCAGTGGGGGAGCTGCAACTACACGGAACTACACGGAAAAACTAGAACAACTAGATAGAAATAAAAACTTTGTCAACTTTTATGACAAGTTTGTTGCTCTGTTCCTCTTCGCCCCTGGCACACTCCCTCCCTCACTCCCACTCTCTCTTTTACCTTCTGTTATGCAGTTGAAATTCGTAACTTAATTTTGTTTCAACATTTGAATTTGTGTGCTTTCTACTCACTTTTTTATTTGTTTGTTTCCCCCGCTTTTCTTTCTTTTCCTTTCTTTTCCTTTCTTTACATTTTATTCTTTGTATTTTCCCTGACTCGTGCACGGGGTGGAGTTTGAGCAAGTGGCTGGAGTTTGTTCGCTCATTCATAATTAAACAAAGATCGTTATGCCCGTGCTTTAGGTGATCGTTAGGGTAACCTTGGATGCCTTGATCTTGATGTTTGGCACGTTCCAACGAACATTCCAACTGATATTAAAACACTTTTAAGTCTATAAGACACAAGGGATGTTTATGGACTATTTAAATTATTTGCCAATAGGTTGCTTCATGTGCTAAGTAATTTTCTACTGTTCAAGTCCCCCCCCAATTAAAAGGTTTTCCTTTGGCAAAACTTAATTCAGAATTACTGCCATTTACTTGGAGCGGAAAATCATTAGGTGGAGAATTTCTATAGCTGAAATAGCATTGCTTGAGTTTCTCTTGGATACTTCTTATCTGTATGCAACTGCTCAACTTGCTATATCCGATTAAAATGCATAACTTGTCGCACTCACATCATTCTCATTCTCATTCTCATCCTTTTCCTTATCCCTGACCCTCCTCAACCTCATGCTGAATTGCAATTGGAATTGCAATCCATTTGATTGCCTTTGTGTGTGCTTGTCCATTTCATACGAGCATTCGCAAACATTTTTCTCTCATTTTTACTGCTGGCACAGCACAGCACAAAAATAAAAAGAAGAGGAATGTTTCCTCTGGCTGCTCTTTTTCATTGGCTTTTTGATTTAATTGCTTATTTTTTGCAGGACCAATGGGATGGGTATATTGAATTCACTTAAGAGCAAATAAAAGCCACATGTCGAAGCGACCTGCAAACCTGCAAACGGCCCCCCCCCCACTGATCCCCACCAGCAGCCTATCCATTTCATAGTTAACATAATTGAAAGCGGCAAAAATAGATGGAAATGGGAAATGTCAGTTAAATTGATTGAACATGTCGAGCAAGAACCTTTGAACTATCTATGCACCCCCACCCCACCGCCGCATACTCTTCGCTTTTCCTGCTTTGTGTCTCAGTCAATTATTGACAGACTGACATTTTAGCGGTGGGGAGGGGTCGTGGTCCACAGAAGCCAAAAAAAAAAAAGAAAAAGAAACCAGAGACCAAGCCCCCCCTCCGCGATGAGCTCCCTAATGAACTGGGCAAAAGCTCATTAAGCTGGACTCACACACCACCCAGCCACCCAGCGACCCAACACCTGTGCAGGAGCCCGTCCGTATCAGACACGATTCCCCCCACCCTACGGGAATAAGTTTATTGCAATATATGAGGAGTACGAGTATTCTGGCATGTTGTGGAATGCCAGTAATTAAAACTATCCGATTCACTTACGATTTTCTTGGATTATTATGAAAAAGTACTGTCAAAACATTCCAAAACTCACCTGCAAAGAAAAGCAATAACAAGTGAAAATTTTTGATTAATTAAAAGTGGCCAAGAATGTGTGTGTGTGTGTGTGTGTGTGTATGTGTGCTTGTACTATGAGAAATGTTTGCTAATGTTTCATACTTCATTACAGATGTAAAAGTGTCTGCAAATAAATATCAATTGCCGATAAGAAAAATACTCAAATACACAGCACAGATTAAATATACACTGTGCGACAGTCATTTTGTACTTTGAACGAGACAAACTTTAGGTTGTGGGCCGTGATGAGTAGCTCACTTCCTCATACTTAGCAATATATATTTGCAATATACCCCCAAAATCTTGTTTAAAAATTCAAAAACCGCAATTCGATGACTGTTGGCATTTTCATAATTTTTACTCAGAACCTGCAGCGCGGATATCCACAAAAAGTAATGGGTTGACAAGAAAATTGTGGTGCCTTTCACAGGATTTTTGATTCGTGGTACTAGAATGGATATATCTGTAGATATAGCGACTCAAAGTTGAAGTTTTCTATCATTTTTAATGTTTCTTCAACTTTGGCATTTAAAAAAAATTCCATTTTGTATGGAATGGTATTATTTTTAGACATGAACTTTCTAGTGCCATCTATTCTTAACAAAATAAGCTATTAATAAATAAAATTGAGCAAAGAATGCCAACGGTATGATTTTTTTTAGTAATTTTACCCTATTTTATAATGCACTAAATAATGCAGCAGGAAATGATTCTATTTATTTATATTATTTATATTCATTTATATTTCTATTTATTTTTTATTTTTTAATAATTACACATTGCATTTCTTATTCTGTCTAGTACTTAAAATAATTCCACCATTTTAATATTTAATAAAAATCAAATTATGTTCTTCTTCTACTTTCCACTGCACACCACTTAGTTCGTATTATTTTTCCATAAACTTATTTATATATATTTCTTTATAATTTAATTTTGATTAAACATTTCCTGCAGCGGTTGGCGCTTGGACTGCTGGTTGACTTTGCAATTCCTGCGAAACCTTTGAAGTTTTTTACATCTCTAAAAGCGATTTCCTGTGCCATCCTGATGGCGAATTACCTGTACCGTACTGGTGGCGGAGGTTGTCATCTGACAACCGCAGGGGCAACTATCAACTCAAAAAAGTTGCACACGCTTAGCAGCGATGCCACGCAGCGCAGCGCCTGCCCTGCCCTGCCTTGTCCTGCCCTGTCCTGCCCTGTCCTGCCCTGTCCTGCCGTCTTGTGCCAGCCTTGGCCACACAGATCGGCAAAGAATAATTTTATTTTGCTGGAACTGCAAGCAATGACAGGCACATTGACTGGCTCTTTGACTGCCACAAACGAGTAGCTGCTGTACTCAGTTGCAGGCGCAGGCGTTAGCCTTGGATCCCACATCCGGTTGCCCAGGACTCCCCCCCGGATAGCTGAGGCAAAGTGTGTGTGTGTGTGTGTGGGCTGCTGGTGCTTTGTGGCTTATTCTGCCGATATTTGACATGAAACGCCCTGCCTGATATGCCTGGCTTGCTGATGGTGCACCTGATCCGAATCAAAATCTATGCTCAATTATCAAGCAGGCTACAAGTAAGCTGCCATGCCCACACACCATTCCCATCACTCACAATCACACAACAAGCTAAAGTTTAAACAATTGAAAATAAATACATAATACATAAATGCTCAACATGCCCAAACGGGAGCGTACAAATGATGCAGACTCGGACGCCGACTGGAAGGGGCCAGCAGCAAAACGCATCTGTCTGTGTGTCCAGTTGGAGCGTCTGGGCGGTCGTCAACTGACCGACTTTCCGCTTGAGATAATGGAGTCCATATTCGGCTACGCTCGCTGCGCTAATAACCTAATGCTGGTCAACAATAGACTGAAGTGCCAGTACATTGCCTACATGTTGCACCGGCAGCGCAGTTTTAAGCATTCAAATAGAAACCAGCCCCTCATTACGGCCGTAATGAAGGTGAGTGAGATGAGCATACAAAAAACATTTGAGATGCAGCCGCATGCATGCCTTGAACATCCGTTCACATCTGCGTCCACAGGTGCTGCACCATGCCACAAATTACGCTGTCCAGGGGGGCTATGAGGCCCACTACATATACAATTTGCAGGCACTGCTGGATCGGACTTGTGCCTCCACTTCCATCCAGACGATGAACACACACCTGCGCAAATTTATTTGCCACTTCTACGCAAGTCTGGAGATGCCCTTGGGCAGCGTTCTGAAATTCATTCGCCCAGCAGTGGACTCTGCTGCAGCAGTGCAGCATCGACGGATTCTTTTAACCATGTCGCTACTCAATATGCTCAAAGTGGGTAGATCTGTGGGATGGGATGGGATGCCATGCCAAGAGGCCACTCTCGAATTTTCCATCTCCTTTTCCCTTTTCCTTTCCCTTTGCAGCAATTTCGTTTCTTTAGAATACTCAGCTCGGAGATGAAGCTCATGCAGTGGCAGCTGAAGGTGGAAGTCAAGGGCATTTTTCTTGTCATACTCGAGCAATTTAAATGGAATGCTAGCAAGGAAAATCTCAGCAAGAATATACAAATAATTGCACTCATAGCGGAACTTCTGCTTCATGATATGTTGGAGAAGAAGTTTGCGTAAGTGACCAGCTATATATACATTGTATATATTGTAGATATATACGAGCGTTCCCCACAATCAGATGCATCAAAAATATCGGCAAATTTACATTGAAATACGGCATGAACAACAATATGGGAACACGCTTGATACTCAGATTCAGTGTCGTGGCCTCGACGCCCATTATTCGTCTGCTGCAGCAGGCCATCGCGGGCGAGATCGATCTGGCTGTTCCCATCGAAATGACATCGGACATGACGTTCTGTGCGCGCCTTGAGTTGACCAAGAAGCTGCACAAGGCCTGGGCCAACAGCAACTTTGTTTTGCACTTGGCCAAGAGCCACTAGTCGATGATACAGTGCCATGCCCATGCCCATGCCCATACCCATACCCACAAACACATTACACATTCTCTTTGCCCAAATTTTAATGTTAGTTTAATGAAAAATGTTCGACTTAATTGAAATGAATACAAAAGAAAACATTAGAAACGTAGATGAGCACAAAATACATTGAACTGCTGCAGCCAAGGGAGCGGTACAGCTTCAGCCAAAGGTGGTCACCCACCCACCAACCGCCCATCCCTACTCTCCAGAAGCTTTTCTTTCTCGCTGTGCGATCTTCTGGACTCAGTACCTGTCCGGTTTTTATTTTTCTCTAGCTAGGGTAGCACCCGAAAGCTACCCGGAATGCTGCTAGCTTTAAAGCTTCTAGCAGCAAGAATTTTGTCGATAAAAAGCTGAGGTGAAAGCACATCTGTGGGCCCTGGTGAAAGCTTGTGAATGCTTTTGTGCTGGATTGCGGTAAAACCTCAACGCTTAACTGTTATGCTTAAAGCTTTCAGCTGCTTAAAGCTCTGTGTATCAAAGACATATCCAGCTGTTACAGAAAAGCTGCCAAAAGCTGCGTTTAGTTTGAACATTAATTTGAATTTAGCAGCAAATTTGCAGAATATTCCAAAAATTAAATATAAAATATTCAAATAGAATTGTGTCACATTTTTGTGTGTCATCCTTTATTTAAATTCACAAACACGCTGGAAAGCAAAAAACGAATAAACAATTAATTTATGCCATGTGCACTGGACATGTGCCCTTTCCCCCGGTCACCCCTTTGGATATTGATTAATTGTGAGTTATTTTTGGCCCGATTTAACCCGTTCCAGGAAAGGTGCTCTGTTCTCTCCTGGCCGCAGCATACTCTATAAATAATCTCCAAACACATACAAACACACACACACACACAGACAATGTTGCTGAAGTTCAATGACTAGCAACAAGGGAGAACCTACTCAGGCGTGAATTATTGGCAGGCTGCTGCTGCTGCTGCCCAGCCCGGCTGGCTCCAGTAACCAAAAAAAAAAAACCCAACCCCAGCATGCTGGAGATGGAGATGGAGGAGCCACTTGTCACGACAGAGTTGCATAATGAATTTGACGTTGAATTGGGGCAGCATGAGGCTGTGTGTGTGGGTGTGGGTGTGCAACAGTTGCCGTCATCAATGATGATTACTCACACACACAATAAATGGTACAAGAAGGGGATTTGCCGCCTGCCCTAAAGGTGCGGGGTTAGAAACCAATTGGCAGCACCGGAAATGCGAAACGATTTTCTTTACAGTGCTGTGTGGCAATGGGAAAGCACACAAAGGTCTCCACAGTTATGGGTTATCGATGGCTTCGACATTAAATGGGATTACAGACTGCTTTCGCCCCCCCCGCTCGTATTGCACAAAATACTTATAAATAATCGCAGTTCAAGCCATGGAACCAGCAGAGAACTCAACACGGCAGTTTTCAGGCAAAGTTCAGTGCCAGCTGCAAGCTGCAAAAACTTCTATGGAAATGCAAGTGGCACTAGAGGCATCTGAGGATCTGCGTGTGGACCTGTGCTGGCCACAAAGTCTAATAATCAATATATTACTAATAATAAATAATAATATAATATATAAATAATATAATAAATATAATATAATATAATATAATATAATATAGTATTATGGAATGGATAATATTGGTGGCAGCTTGCCACATGGTGGCAGCTTATCTGCCTCTCAAGCTGCGAAAATGAAGAATTATCCGCCACCATTTGTTCTGATTAAATTTCCTTTAAATTCGAGGGCGACTTTCGCCTCAAGCCTCCACACGTGATAAATTCATACAGAATGTTCCACTACACTAGCCAGGGAGCATTGTCAGAAGGTTCATTTCCGCTGTGGCCACACAAAATGGCGTGCAAAATGAAAAAACCGAACCGAACCGAACAGAACAGAACAGAGAAAAAGTCTCTCACGTTGATAGGCAACATTAACACACGCGATGTGGGCCTGTCTGTGGCATCTGTGGAACTGCCAGCTGGGAGCTGTGGACTGGGGGCTGGGGCAAGCATCCAAGGACAGCGACAATTGCATGTGTAATTTGTGTTTAGTGGGCTGGAAGCGAAGTTATCCAACAGCCACAGCCCATCGCTCCATTAAATGTTCCAAACAAAAGAGAGAGCTCTGTGTGATGCGGCGCCCAGGTGAAACTTTCACTGTACGTGGGTACAAAAATAAAATGAGTTCATCCATAGGTACACACATGTACATAGTCCCTGCCGCATACTGACGAGCAGAACGAGGAGAATGCCAACACGAGGGCAAACTCGGCAGCAGGATCCACTATCCCAGTTACCGATACAGTTCCGTTTTGTCTTGGTCAAGCTCTAATCAATCCCCCCCTGCCAACGCATGGGCAGAAACAATGCACGGATTATGAGCCTGCCTGTCCATGCAGCGGAATACCAAAGTGACGGACATTCTGCGGCGCGTTAAAACAGCCCAAGGGCCACGACGAATTATTGGCCAAAAATTCAGGAATTTTCAATAAATCGTTCAACATTTTCATGTCAGTGGATTGGACGGAATGTCAGTACCTGGCTGATTGATGCATGCTTGGGCAGTTGTAGATCATTCGAAACACTTTACATATGTACATATGTATGTACATGCATATATATATTAGTGCTCATATATTGCTCATTGTTTCGGCAATCATTTTCTGCCTGTTGCTGAAACATTCACAAAAATACAATAAATCGTACAAATGCAATTCAATCGTAGTATCAGTCGTAAGTTCTGTATTACGATTAGTCCGATTTCTTTATTGAATGTTGCATATTTTTGCAGCGCTAATTACACGATTTCTGCCGAGCCTTTTGGTCCTTACAGCTGGGAGGCCGAACCTTTTGTTCCTTACAGCTGGGACGCTGAGCCTTTTTGTCCTTACTGCTGGGACGCGGAGCCTTTTGGTCCTTACAGCTGGGACGCGGAGCCTTTTTGTCCTTACTGCTGGGACGCGGAGCCTTTTTGTCCTTGCAGCTGGGACGCCCAGGCTTTTGGTCCTTACAGCTGGGACGTTGAGCCTTTTTGCCCTTGCAGCTGGGACGCCGAGCCTTTTTGTCCTTGCAGCTGGGACGCTTTTTGATCGGCCCACACGATGGCTTGATTGTTGGTTGTTCTGGGATGCATTGTGGTGGTGCCAAAGTGCTGCAGGTCGGTTCGCATTGCGCTATCGTTGTGGCCTCAGTCGGTGCCTGGGTGCCTGGATCACAAGGATCATCTTCTTCCTCACTGTCAGCGGAGTCATCGCTGCCATCGGAGTCATCGCTGCCATCGGAGTCATCGCTGCCATCGGAGTCATCGCTGCCATCGGAGTCATCGCTGCCATCGGAGTCATCGCTGCTATCCGACAAATCGCTGCCATCGGACAAGTCGCTGCCATCGGACAAATCGCTGCCATCATCGTCGCTCGTGTCGTCGTCTGTGATGGATGGGCACGTTGCTTCACAGACCTCGATGAGGGCCACGGCCACAATCAGTCCAATCAGCCAGAGAAAGCGCATCTTGAATACTGCTGCTGGAGCAACTCCCATGCCTGTGCTATATATGCATATGTAGGCACTCGCACCAAGTGCATGCACGTATCGGGCTATGATGGGCGATGATGAGGGCCTTGCATAAATATTTGCTTGTTGGAAAGGTCTGGTTTTTATTTTTGGCTCGCTCCCTTTACTTAACGCGTTTTTTTTTTACTTAACTTATTTTTTGCTTTGTTTTGTATTGTTTGCTTGTTTTTTTCTTGTACATTTTTAATGTTTACTTAGCGACAGCTGCTGATTACCATATTGATGGCTTTTTTTGGTTTTATTTTCTATCGCGTTTCTTTACATTTTTCATTCAAATTACGCGTTTTGTTATGTGGATCGTGGCGAAGATGGCTGCCTAATTATACTCGTAATGGGATGGGAATGGGAGAGTTTTGCGATAGCTAATAGCGGGATTGAAGCATCCTCAAGTAGTCGCTGATTTTAATTGCTATAATCTATGTTTTAAAATATACTCAGAGGAAAAATGCACCTTTAATCTTTTCAATTATGCACATTTAAAAATATCCGAGAGTGTTAATTGTAAATGGAAATTTGCTTGCCCTTTCGCATTACCATTAATATGAAAATATTTTTATTTAAATATATTTTAGATATTTTTAATTATGAAAATAATTTATTTAAATATTTTTTAGATATTCTGAATTTAAATTAAATATTTTCGTATATTTTAGATATTTTTAATTTAAATTAAATATTTTCATATTAAAACTAAATATATTTTATACAAATTAAATGCATTTATTATGTTTAGACTTTTTATATGACTATTATATTTTAAAGTGTTTTAATTATTAATTATTGTTTTATTTTTAAATCAAATTGAATAATTCTATTTAAATTCGCTGTGTTTGCATATAAAAACCGAATATTTAATTTAAATTTTGCTGTGTTGATTTCTACTATTCCCATACTGTTTTCCGCAGTGTTTTGATTTTGTTTTATTTTAATAAATTAATATTTAATAAGTCATTAAAGAGAATTCAGTAATGAAATCGATGGGGGCCAATAGTTTTGTTTCGAATGTTTCCAGATTGTTGTCGCTAGAACCTTTTGAAGCGTCAGGCGTCACATCTCCGGCGCAATCACCTTTCTATTGTTTCGTGGCCGTGCCCGTGCCCGTACCCGTGCCTCTGCCCGGCCTTCGCGTGGGCAAACAGACTTTGGGCTATAAAATGCGACGAAATCTAAGACGATTGTCAGAATACGGAGCGAACTGTGTGAGAATGAAGTACGACAAGCGATCCCTGCTGCTAGCCCTGCTCTGCCTGGGCATGTGCTTGGCCCTGGCGGTGGGCCAGGAGCTGGACGATGCTGAGGGGGATGGGGACAGTGACTCTGGCTCCAGCTCCGGCACCGGCACCGGCACCGATGTGGCTGGCGATGATCCGGCGGATGCAGATAGCGGCACAGATGTGTCGGGCGATGCTGGTGCTGCTGATGATGGCGGCACCGTCGATGCGGGCGATTACGGTGGCGACTATAGCGATCCGGAGCCAGCACCTGCACCACCACCACCGCCGCCGCCAGCGCCCAAGAAGAGCAACAAGAAGAGCAGCAACAGCAAG